AATGAAGAAATACTTTATTATAGTTTTGGAAAGCTCTCGAGATAAGCTACACGAATATGTAATAAAAAATAGGGAGTTCCATTAAAGAAATTGAAGGTGACCTTTACGTCACCTTCAAATAACTCTCCAAGGTCAAATCATTGCCACTATCTGATGGCCCCCTTCAAGCCATACAACTTTTGTCTGAAACATTTCTTTCTAAAGTGCATAGTTTATGAAATATTCGACCGGTCCGGGACTTTTGGGACACTGTGTGTGTGTGTATGTATATATATATATATATATATATATATATATATATATATATATATACCTGTTTAAAAGTTGGGTCATTTCTCGAAGATTTGAAACTTCGTAGTTAACAAGCTCATTACGACGATTTTCATAGGCTGACAATGCGTTGTGTATGGTGACAGGTAATAGTTCAGCAAACAAATCTATAAATAAGACAATACTTGTGCAATATTTATAGAAAAGAAAAAAGATATTTTCTCTCTGTAAAATTATTAATATTGTCTTTAACCTTTAAAATCAGAACTGAATTTTTCGGGAAGTGGGAGTAGTTTAGCAACGGTAGCTTTTCCTATAGCTTCCACATTCTTGATGTCTGGAATCCTTTCGTGATATATAAAATCATTATCTTTTTTTACTTCTGTTAGATTTCTCTGTGCTTTGTTGGCATAATCTTGGAATAAGCTTGGCTTATTTGATCTTTGTTGGGCAGCTTTGAACAACTCCACAGCATGCTGAAAATGTTAACGTGTCGTTATAAACAATTTAAAAAATAGATAACTGAATTGTGATACAATTACCTCTAATCTAGCAATTTCTTCTCCAATTACTTTATTATTTTTGCATACAAGTGATTGATAATATTCGGCCATAGCGCGATAACCAGCTTGTTTACTTGCTATCTGTAAACAACACTTATCTATAAAATGATATATATAAATATTTAAAAAAAATTATTTATATTTGATATACTAACCAAAGGCACCCATTCTTTGTCCCAAAATGCGCGAAAAATTTCTTTCTGAAATAATTTTAAGGCATCTGCATATAATTCTTCTGCTTGTGCTGCCAATCTAGCAACAATACCATCTTTCATAGAATCATGGATTGCTTTATGCACAAATATTTCTTGTGCTTGAGCAAGCATTAATGCACTCAATGCTCCGAGTGTTTCTGGACTAATATCGGGTGTTGGTTCTTGTTGAATTGCCATCATGACATTTCCTTTCAGATAATTAAATATCCCAGCTGATTGCTAAAAAAAAATTTTAATTCGTTAATGCATTCAAATAATATGTAAAAATATTAATAGAATACAGGAATATGGAAGAGCAAACCTGAAATAATTTAGCTGACAGTTTCAATCCTTCATCGCTATCTAATGATTGTGTAGCAGCTATCGAACTTTGTAAAGAAGCAATATTGAAGAGTACACATACTTTTTCATATGCCAATGTGCTAATGGCTGTGCATAACAATATTATGAGTTATATCATATTTTCATTGATACACATTAAAGTAATCTATATCACTTTATCTTATCTGTCGTTCTATTTATCTGATATTCTCAATTTAGAGATTATTTATGTACAATGTAATGCTTTTTCTATCATTTATTTCATAAATAAAATAATTCATAATTCATAAATAATTTATATATTTGAGAGAGTGAGATGTTAAAATTTAAATTAAAAAGCACATAAAAGGTGACAAAATTACATATATTCCTTCTTTTTAATACTTACTTAAACTGAGTTTTCCACCAAAAATTGTACGATCAAAGGCATCTTTCCATTTGAATGGTATTTGTAATTCATGAGCAGGGATTTTTCTTTCCAATGCACATAACTGATCATAATAGCTATAAATAAAATTACATATTTTACTTGACAATGTTTTTAATCTTATATATATATATAACTTATATATATAACAATGTTTTTAATCTTATATATATATATATGTGTATTTGTGTAAGAGATAATTACTCTAATAGAAATAGAATAAAATTTAATAGAGTTTCATTCCATGAACAACTCCTTAAAATATAATTTTAATTTTCTTTGTATCAATACAAATTGTAAATTCTGATAAATCTGTTAAGATTCATTTGCAATTCAATCATTGTCATCAACCTATATTATTAAAAACTAAAGATATATATAAAAATCTTACAATTTTTAATGCTGCTTATAACATATACTACTTTCCTTTCAGGTGAAAAAAATCCGAAAAAAATAAGATTGGCGACATTCAGTAGATAAATTATAACTGAATTAATCAAAAATATTAGTTATCATCAGTAAGATTTGGTTGTATCGCTAATGTAAATTTGTGGATTTCAGATCGCGATTGCGTATATGTATCCAATAAACAAAATATATATCTCATCGAACAATTTCAAAAGTCATGACAATAACATGTAACACCGATAATTGTCGTACGAAATATAATTGTCAACCGAAATAATTAAAGATGACTCATACCTGTAAATAACCTGCAATGAACTTTCATACTTCTCAAAGGCTCGCCAAAGAGCGTTGTTTCTCAGCTTGCTAAATTCAGCGATAGCATCCGTATAATCTTTCTGATTTCCTGGGGTGTTGTAAGTTGATTTAATAACATTTGTAAGCGGTTTTATTATGTCAACGTCGGAAGGTTTTTTTAATGGAATCGCGATAAGTTCAGCCATCTTGACGTTTAATATGACATACACAACTGTGACACAGCTGATGTACAGCTGTACCAGAAGGTGCGTTGCGACTTAAGGCCGCAGCACACACTTTTGCATAAGCGCATAACCGTAAGCATAAGGAGATTGATTGGTCCTCAAGTATATGCATAAGAAAATGAACCAATCAATTTTCTTATGTTTATGGTTATGCGTTTATGCAAAAGTGTGTGCTGCGGCCTTTAAGGGCCTTTAAGGGCCAGACAAACTTGCATAGGTGCATATGCATAACATAAGACCACATGGACCAATGAGCATCGAGTATTATGTTATATAAGTCAATATGGCGACTTAATACTCGATGCTCATTGGTCCATATGATCTTATGTTATGCATATGCACCTATGCAAGTTTGTCTGGATAGGCCCTAAGGGCCTATCCAGACAAAGTTGCATAAGTGCATATGCATAACATAAGATCATATGGACCAATGAGCATCGAGTATTAAGTCGCCATATTGACTTATATAACATAATACTCGATGCTCATTGGTCCATGTGGTCTTATGTTATGCATATGCACCTATGCAAGTTTGTCTGGATAGGCCCTAAGACCGCAGCACACACTTTTGCATAAGCGCATAACCATAAACATAAGAAAATTGATTGGTTCATTTTCTTATGCATATACTTGGGGACCAATTTCCTTATGCTTCTGGTTATGCGTTTATGCAAAAGTGTGTGCTGCGGCCTTTAGGGCCTATCCAGACAAACTTGCATAGGTGCATATGCATAACATAAGACCACATGGACCAATGAGCATCGAGTATTATGTTATATAAGTCAATATGGCGACTTAATACTCGATGGTCCTTAATACTCATTGGTCCATATGATCTTATGTTATGCATATGCTAGAGAACCTCTAGGAGAGAGAATGGACAACTGATCAAGCTTTTTCATGATTGGCTGGCAGAAAATGTATCAATTTTAGCCATTGCGACGCCAATGCAAAATATGATGACACACAAATAGGACACACATGACACACATATATTAACCTATTTGTGTGTCATCATATTTTGCATTGGCGTCGCAATAGCTAAAATTGATACATTTTCTGCCAGCCAATCATGAAAAAGCTTGATCACATGTCACATGATCAGTTGTCCATTCTCTCTCCTAGAGGTTCTCTAGCATATGCACTTATGCAACTTTGTCTGGATAGACCCTTAAGGTGCGGCCTCATTGACGCTAAGAAGTAGCGTCAATCATTGGTTGAACAAGGAGGTAAGTATAGTTGCTTCATTGTTCAACCAATGGTTGACGCTACTTTTTAGCGTTAATGAGGCCGCATCTTTACCCTGAAACCATAGTTTCGCATTGTCACCGCATGAGGTCTCCAATATCAATTCGGAGTTTGTCCGTCACTTCAGTCTCTATCGTTCCTGTCGATTCTTAAAAGTTCTTCTACCGCGTGGAAACATGGCAGACGAGTAAGAAATCATAGTAGCTTCTAAAATCTAACTACATCAATCGATAATATGATTTCGTAATTCCACAGACATTGTATTAACAATTTATTGTTATGCATATATATAAATGTATCTATATTTTTACGTTAAAAAAGCAAGCAATCAGGATTGTTGAAACTAAAAATTTGCGAATACATCTTTCTCTTGTTGTCTCCAATATTGATTACGATATTATATTATTATAAGAGAAGACATTTAATTTTTGATCACGAATTGATCTGATTATCTATTGTATTATTTATTATTGATGTTTGTACAATGAACGAAAGTTAGAAAATATTACGCCAAAAAAATATACTAAAATTTACACTGTTTCTTTGTGTTTCGTGTTAAATCATAATTTTCAGTAAAAATTTAACTAGTTTCTCAAATATACATACATTTGAACGTATATTTAGCAAAGATATCCTTACATATAAATATATTTTTCCATATAGAAAAAAAGAAAGCGATGTTCCAACCAAGAAATTGCCAGCAGTACCGGAATCTGTGTTGAAAAAAAGAAAACGCCGTGAAACAATTAAAGCTGCACGTCTACAAATATCAATTAAGGTAATTACATATGTAACATTAAATATTTATATATTTAGAAACATTATGTAAAATGCAAAGACCAGCTTTCATTTATATTATTTTATTTTCTAGCAACGTGCAGATCGTTACAAAAAAAGAAAACAGATATTTAAAAGAGCTGAAAAATATGTAAAAGAATACAGAAGGAAGGAGAGGGATGAAATCAGATTGATTAGACAAGCTAAAAATCGCGGAAATTATTATATTCCTGGTGAAGCACGACTTGCATTTGTTATCCGTATTCGAGGGTAAATATTGTATCATTAAATAATATTAAATACTGCTAATATTAAAAACTGTTTTTTTCAAAGTCGTAAAGTTTAATAATATTTATAAATGATATTTATCTAATAATGATTATAATTTCTTTTAGTGTAAATCAAGTTGCTCCAAAAGTACGTAAAGTATTACAATTGTTTCGTCTAAAACAGATTAATAATGGTGTCTTTGTTAAATTGAACAAAGCAACTATTAATATGTTACGTATTGTCGAGCCTTACATTACATGGGGATATCCCAATTTAAAATCAGTTCGTGAGTTGATCTATAAACGTGGATTTGCCAAGATAAACAGACAACGTATACCAATAACTAGCAATTCCATCATTGAAAAGAAACTTGGTAAGTGAATTATTTTCTACATAATATGCTATATATGCAAATGTTAAATACCAGTGAAATATTAAAGTATGATTAATATGCATGCTATATTTTTACACTAGTAATTTTTTTGACAAATCCATGGGAGTCTTGGAAATATAAACATTCTCCCTTCCAACTTGTCAAAAATTAATAAAGCAAGTTTCGGAAAAATTTGACTATGATTTTTATATGGTCAGAATTGACAGAGAAATTTGTACAAAAATTTGTTATAACTTATTTTTTTTTTTTTTTTTTTATTATATAAAATTGTGTGTTATCACATATTAATAAAAAAACTTATTTTTATTTTCACTTAGGTCGATCTAACATCATTTGCACTGAAGATTTAATTCACGAAATATTCACTGTTGGCCCGAAGTTTAAATATGCCAGCAATTTTCTGTGGCCCTTCAAGGTATGTGCTTTTCAAAATATTAAAAAACATTTATGCATATCAATATCTTGCATTACGACATAGGCATGGTTATAGAATAATTTATTCTATTAACCTCCTATTATGTCGAAAAGTAATAAGAGTTTTTCTTTCTAATGGATATGATATCTTAATATCACAATCTAAGATAAACTCAAACACTTTTATTAATTTATATACATTGTATAAATTATAACATTGTGTATCTAAAAATCATTCTAATTGTTTCTAGCTTAATACACCAAATGGTGGGTGGCGTAAGAAAACCAACCATTATGTAGAAGGTGGTGACTTTGGAAATCGAGAGGATAAAATTAATGAACTTCTCAGAAGAATGGTATAAATTTATAAACGTCTTCATAAATAAAGTCCTATAATCGAAATTATTTTTTTATGTTCTGCCCTAATGTGTTATGAATATATATATATATATATATATATATATATTTATATTTATATTTATATTTTTTTTTGTAATCAATAGAAATCAATGTCTTAATCTCTATATACATACAGAAATGTAAATTAAAGAAGTTGAAAGGTATTCATTAGAAAATCAAATTATATTTATATTGATAAAAAAATATTAAATGAAGCTATACATTCTCGATATCATAAATATATTTGTTTTCAAATCTGCATTATATACTTTTAAGTCAAATTCGTTTGTGTGCAAATTTGTACATCTCTTGTACAAACGTTGGCCGCATTCTGCGGCGCCTACAATAACATTTTACATGTTATTTACAATGGCAGTAGGATATAAGGCCGCAGCACACACTTTTGCATAAGCGCATAACCATAAGCATAAGAAAATTGATTGGTTCATTTTCTTATGCATATACTTGGGGACCAATCAATTTCCTTATGCTTATGGTTATGCGCTTATGCCAAAGTGTGTGCTGCGGCCTTAAAAGCTGGTGGCACCCACTTTCCATAAGACATAACAGTAAGGTTTCGACCAATTGCGTTGCTCAATTTGGCCGTCCGTAACCAAATTGAGCAACGTGATTGGTCGAAATCTTATTGTTATGTCTTATGGAAAGTGTGTACTATAGCCTTAACGCTTATACAATGGATGCTCGGTCTATACTTACTATGTCTATGGTCTCGACGATGATAGTGCGGTTGTGGTAGGTTGTTTGGCGCGAAGTACGAAAAGAGAATGAATGTAACGGGTCACCCACTCTTCATTAGCAATTATTCCTATTTTGAAATGAGTTATTCTATCCTTCAAAAAGGAAAGGACAACCCTGCTTGTGGGTTGTAATTGACAAATATTCACAATGGCCGGTATTCATAGTCTGATCTTATATTTGAGATCGTTTTAAGTTCGAGCTTGAAATGCTACGCAGCTATTTGATTGGTTGAATGAGGTCTTAAGTCAACCTCCAAGCAGACTTAAGACGATCTTAAATATAAGATCGGACTATGAATACCGGCCTAAGATGGCCGCGACAATAAACTCCTTATCCCTTAGGCTTTATTCCCCTCGTCTAAAAGAGTATTTTATGCTCTGTCCTATATTTCTTACGTCCATGGTCCGATCTTATATTTGAGATCGTCTTAAGTTCGAGCTTGAAATGCTACGCAGCTATTTGATTGGTTGAATGAGATCTTAAGTCAACCTCGGACCAGACTTAAGACAATCTTAAATATAAGATCGGACCTATAATAATACCGGCCTATGATTGGTCAATGGCGTATAGTAAACTATCCCGAAGCAACTAAACCCGACTACTTGAAAACGCCAAATATTTCGTATTGCAAAATACGTATTGCTTGTGTACACTACGCGACAATGAGTCGTTCCATGACCCCTCTCTCGCGGGGCAAGGGGAGCGTAGAAGTGACCAATCAGCTGGCAGCGTGGCAATGGCTGATTGGTTAGAGGCTACGCTCCTCTTGCCTCGCGAGAGGGACCTCGGAACGAATCGTTGTTGCGCAGTGTACATAGCTTAAAATATGAAACTCTGCATGTGTGTGTCCGAGGCGCTTCAGCCTAGCTTCATCGTAATCAATTATAATCATTATAATGTAATAAGTAAAAATATATATGTGTATATATAAAGGTAAATATATATAATATAAAAATATAATATAAAAATTAATGTTAATTAAAATAAAACAAAGTAGAAATGACAATCACATATAACACATCTAACCTATTTACATTTCAATAAAAAGTTGAGATTCGCAAAATACTATTATTTAATAATAATTATCAAATTATAAAAATTTTAATTTTTTTATTAAATTATGAATATAAATTATTCTCAAAAATACTGATATATCTTTATAATTGAAAGGGTCGAACACGATGTACTATTGGAGTTGTAAATAAGAAGTTTGCCTGCAATATTATACATTCCATGTTCAAATCTCTGAAATTTCATTTTTTTTCTCTAAACAGCATCCTTTATATTTTTCATACATCGGAATACTATAAAACAATCTAAAAATATAATTTATTATATTATATGGATAAAATAATTTTATTTTTTTCTAGCTAATGAGTGCATCACAATAAAATTTAAATTCTTATAAGTCACAATTAGCTTAATTTTCTTTTATATTTTGCAAAAGATTTGTGTAAATATGAGTAAAAGAAATATATTTGAAGTGTTACCTAAAAATAAATGTTTAACTATGTGAAAATCAAACGAAGAATTCAAGAATATCAACGAATAAATTCAAGAATAATATGTATTAATGCAGCTATTTTTATTATTTTTTAAAATTTTGTTTTTTTTTATTTACAGGAGATGATATTAAAACAACAAATTTAGTTGATACAGATAGTAATCCAAATTAAAAGAAGAATATACAAGAAAAATGAACTTATAATTAGACAACAAATTCCACTTCTCATGGTGAGAGGAGTTTGCAAAAATCAATATCTGAAACAATGAATAAAAATACTGATTTACAGAATATATCTAATGCAGTACATCTCTCTCAAGATATATATGAAATAAGTGAAATGACTGTGAAACATGATGAACAAAGCCAGTCATCTGTATCTATAGTATCAAATGTCAAAAGAAAAAGGGGTAGACCTAGGAAAGTGAAAAATAATTCTATAGACCAAAATATATCAAACTCATCAAAGAATGACAATATTGTGCAAGATATCTCCGATATCATTACAGAATCCACATACACAGTGCGCAGTACAAGAAACAGTAATAAAATAAGAGTTACCACCAATGTAAGTGATTTAAGTGATGAAAGCGATACTACTAATGTGAAAGATGAGCCTATCGTCAAAAAACGTGGTCGTCCAGTTGGTACTACAGGACGAGGACGAGGTCGAGGACGAGGACGTAATCGGGGTCGTGGTAGGGGAATAATATATAATTCTTTAGATTTGGAATATGTTCCTAAAATGACGAGAAGAGATTCTCAAGTGGAAAAATTAGAAATACTGGAACATAATTTAGATTTAGATAAAACAAATACAATAGACAGTGTTTCAAATTGTTGTATTACTGAAAATAGTATAACAAATTCAAATTCTTCAAATATTGAAAAAAATGTAAGTTGTAATATATTTGAGAAAAATTTACATTACTGATCATATAACATAGAATTGAAATTTTTATTTATAGGTACAATTAGTAACTTGTGCTAAATGTAATCAACAAATATCAAAAAGACAATGGTCTTCACATAACTTGCATAAACATAATAACATGGCTTGGCAGGAAAATGAGGAGCCATTGGTAATAATATATTCAGTTGTATTGTAAAATTTTATATCTCTCATTAATTAAAATTTTATATAAAAATCGACTTTGTCTACAGGACTTTGAAAATAATATTAAATTATTAGAGAAAGTATTAACTCATGCTCTTAAAAAAAAAAAACATCTAACTTGTGAAAAGTGTGAAAATACAAAACGGAGTGTCAAGGGCTTTATATCACATATGCAGTTTTGTGGAAAATCAGAAGAAGTAAGTATAAAAAGTATAATATATATGTTAAGTTATATATTATATACAGACTGTCCCAAAAGTCCCGGACCGGTCGAATATTTCATAAACTATCCACTTTAAAAAGAAATGTTGCAAACAAAAGTTGTATGGCTTGAAGGGGGCCATCACAGTGGCAATGATTTTGACATGGGAGAGTCATTTCAAAGTCACGTGAAGATCACCGTCAATTTCTTAAATGGAACCCCCTATTTTTTATTATATGTTCGTGTAGCTCTCGAGAGCTTTCCAAAACACTATAATAAAGTATTCTTTCATTGAGTATGTTTCGAGTTATGAGGCTTGAAATCATTCCTTAATTTTGCATAAACCATAAAATATCTAGTAAAATATTCATTTTTCGATTATTTTACCTTAATATTTTTATGTACAAAATAATGAGAGAAATCAATTAGTGTAAATAAAAGCCATAGTTGTTTTTGAGAAAAAATATGTAATAGTTAATTGCAAATTACATATTTTTTTAGAAACTATTATGTGTTTTCTTTACACAATCGATTTCTCACATTATTTTGTGCATAAAAGTATTAAGGTAAAATAATCGAAAAATGAATATTTTACTAGATATTTTATGGTTTATGCAAAATTAAGAAATGATTTCAAGCCTCATAACTCGAAACATACTCAATGAAAAAATACTTTATTATAGTGTTTTGGAAAGCTCTCGAGATAAGCTACACGAATATGTAATAAAAAATAGGGGGTTCCATTTAAGAAATTGACGGTGATCTTCACGTAACTTTTAAATGATTCTCCCATGTCAAATCATTGCCACTATCTGATGGCCCCCTTCAAGCCATACAACTTTTGTTTGAAACATTTCTTTCTAAAGTGGATAGTTTATGAAATATTCGACCGGTCCGGGACTTTCGGGACAGTCTGTATGTACATAATGTGTTATTATAACTTAGTGTTACTTTATACTTCTTTATCTTTTTGTTACAGGAAAAGCAAGCATTAATGGTGACATGCTCAATTTGCAAATCTGTTATGATGCCTTCTTCCATGGAAATGCATAAACGTTATAGTCATAAACAATTAGAACAAAATAAAAATAAAGAAACATCAATTATAGTACAACGAACAAAACGGAAAGCAGCAGAGAAGTAAATGAAATGTTGCTAATAAGAATTTCCTATTAATTATAGTGATGTATTATAAAATACAATTTTCTGTAATTACAGAGCAATGCCAAAGATATTTGAGTCTATGAAAGAGCAAGAGCCAGCAAAGAAAATAGAGCTTGATTCTTCTATATTTGTATGTTTCATTTATTGTTGTTTAACAAATATAAGTATATATAATGAGAGATAAATTCTTTGACTAATTTAAGGCAGCTCAATTTTAAGGTATATATAATTAAAGTGTTAATAAAATTAAGCAAGAAACAAGAATCTCGACAAATTAGAATTCAGGAGAAATAAATGACAAAGATCATATTATTTAATTAATTTAAATGAATTATATGTAATAAAATATCTTATAAAATTTAATTATAAAAATATATACAATATAATTTACAAAGAATATACAATACAAAATATATAACATATACAATACAATTTAAAAAAAGCAAATCAATTATCTTTCTCTGTGTAAGAAAACATTAAAATCTCAAATTAGTCAAAGAATTGAATAATACTGAAAATAGAGTTATATGTATGCATACATTTATCAATTTAGAAAAATGTAATACAAATGCCAGAACTTAAAAAAAAGATACCAACTGTTTGGAAAGGTATGTGGAAAAAGGAAATAGCTTCACAAGGTACCACATCTTGCAAACAATTAGGATGTACTTATATATGCTCTTCTTATGAAAGTATTTGTGAACATTATTCTCAATGTAACTTTACTCCACAAGAGGTATATCATATTTTACAGTTTTTGCAATATTTCAAAGTAATTAAGTACATAAATAAGAAATGTTTTTATCTTTTTCAGAATTTTATATGTAAAATTTGCAAGTTTTTTGCAGATTCTAAAGATAAAATCATAGATCATATAACAGAAGCTCATTCAGGCAAAGAAGACTTAGATAAACATTCTGATTTTGAAAAAGACGAAGCGGATGAGGATTCATCAGAAGAAGATATAATCAAATTTGATGTAAAAAAAAAATATCGTTCGTCGAAACAAACACAGATAAACTCTGATGGTACAAGTATGTTCAATAGACATATAAACTATATTATCTCAATAGTAATTTTACTTGAATATATACGTACTTCAAAGAAGACATTGGTACATTTAATTTGCTATAAAATTAATAGAATGTTAATCTTACAAATCTTATGAATTTTATTAATTAAAATAAAAATTATTCTAGAGAATATAAATCGGAATGTATAAATTTTTCAATTTGTATAATAGCTTTTGAATCAAGACATATTTGTATTTATATTTATCAATATATATATCAATATATATTTGCATGCTTTTTATACCTCCTGTCTGGTTTTGAAATTGGTCTAGTATTATAGTTCCGATTATTAATCAAAGTATCTTAAATAATATATGATATAATAACTTAAAATATGAATATATTATTTATGAAATTTTAGGAATATATAACAAAATGACATTCTTAGATAAAGAAATAATGCAAAATCCACAATCAACTAAGCCTTACAAGCCATCTATACATTGGACTCTGGAATTGTAAGTGCTTACATAATTAGGTTATGTACATTAATTATTAAAATTTAAATGAAGTACTTCATATATCTACTCTTCAATTCACAATTTAACAGAACTAATAACATTTAATTTAAAAAATATTTTATTTACTCTTCTTGTTATTTACAACAGTGAATTGAAAAATTATGAACTTACATTATTTGAAGACAATATGCCAAATGCTTTTACGTTACTGGAAAATAATAATGCTATAAAATATCTCCCAGAACTAACAATTTCAATGGCTATCAAAAATGTGAAGCTTAATTCATCACAAAATGAAGAAAATTCGAACAATGATACGTGGAAGCATCTAAATAGATTCGAAAGCGACATTTATGAAAGTAAATCTGAAAACTTTGCTAAAAACTATTGTTTTTTTGAAATATTTAGTAAGATATTGATGAAATTATAATGCTGCTTTAGCTGTGCCAACATTTTTTGTTGGTGGTCCTGTATGGGCGTTAGCGTGGTTACCTATTCCATCATCAATATACACCAAAAATCCTACACAATATGTTGCAATTAGTACACATCCTACTATGGAAAAGGAGTATACTGTAGGAAATAAATATTCCGGACCAAATATTATACAAATATGGAATGTGGGAAGTTTAAATCATAAGTAAGTCTGAAAAGTACTAACAAGTAAGACAGTGCATGCAATGTGAAAAAGAAATTCAATTAACACTATTATTTTATATATTTTATATATTTTTATATATTTTTATATATTTATATATATATATATATATATACACAGAGTGACCCATTTTAATCCATCCAGTCGAATATCTCGAAAACCAAGCCCGGGAGAGAAAAATGTTTCAGACAAAAGTTGTTTGGTTTCGCGGGGACCATAACATGGTACCATTGGTTTGATCTTGAAGAGTCATTTGAAGGTCACGTGAAGGTCACCTCAATTTTTTTTAAATGGCACCCCTATTTTTTATTACATATTCTTGTAGCTGATCTCGAGAGCTTTCCAAAACACTATAATAAAATATTTTTTCGTTGAGTATTTTTCGAGTTGAGGCTTGAATAATTTCTTAATTCTACATATATCATAAAATATTTAGTAAAATATTCATTTTTCGATTATTTTACCTTAATATTTTTATGCACAAAATAATGTGAGAAATCGATTGGTATAAAGAAAACACATAGTTATTTTTAAGAAAAAATATGTAATTTGCAATTAATAATTACATATTTTTTCTTTAAAACAACTATGTGTTTTTTTACACCAATTGATTTATCTCATTATTTTGTACATAAAAGTATTAAGGCAAGATAATTGAAAAATGAATATTTTACTAGATATATTACAGTTTATGTAAAATTAAGAAATGATTTCAAGTTTCATAACTTGAAAAGTACTCAATGAAAAAATATTTTATTATAGCGTTTTGGAAAGCTCTCGAGGTTAGCTACAAAAATATGTAATAAAAAATAGGGGTGCCATTTAAAAAAAATTGAGGTGACCTGCACGTGACCTTCAAATAACTCTTCAAGATTAAACCAATGGTATCATCTTATGGCCCTCTCGAGACCAAACAACTTTTGTCTGAAACATTTTTCTCTCCTGGGCTTGGTTTTCGAGATATTCGACTGGATGGATTAAAATGGACCACCCTGTGTGTGTGTGTGTGTATAACACTATTATTTTATATATATATTCTCTTTCTTTCAGCATCGATAGTACAAATAAACTACCCGTCTTAGCTTATGCAATTGCACATAATAATGGTACAATTTGGTGCTTGGAGTGGTGTCCATCAGGATGCTACCAGGATATTGTTCTTGGCAACTATAAAGCGGAAGAAAATAAACTTAGACGAATGGGATTGCTTGCGGCCGCATGCTCGGACGGATGCGTAAATATTTATTCATTACCATTTCCTGATGAACTTAAATTCGAAAAAACAGAATATAATTCGTGAGTCGTATTACGATTTCATATTATAATTTGACATTGCTGATAAATCGTTGCTTATGATGGTTTTATTTACAAAGGTTGCCGATTTACAAGACTGATCCGGTAATAATATTAGTCGTGAATCAATTATTATATGATAGTAACAAACAGAATTGGCAATGCACTAAGCTATCATGGACAAAGGAACATGGACATAAGTAATACATTTTCGACTTAAATTATTATTCTTAAGATTAGCATATTATAATCTATAAAAATAATACGAATGTATCTTTTAGTATCATCGCGGCAGGTTTCACCAATGGTTATATTGCATTATGGGATCTCACGAGTACCTGTCCTATGTTAGTCAATATGCGAAAGAATACAAAACTTATAAACACATTCCAACATTTCTTTGCTCATCACAACACAATTAGCAGTAAGTGTAAATTATTTCATCCTTTTAAATAAGAAAATAGAATACATGTAAAAATTTACTGTATTATTTTTTTTACTCTGCACAGTGATAGCAATAGTTCCATATGGTAAAAGCCGATTTTTGGCTTCCGGCAGTACAGATAGATCGTATAAATTTTGGGACTTGGAAGATACAAGTACACCGCGACACTGTACGAAAAAGGGTATAATACTGGATGGCACATGGATGACACATTGGCCATGTTCAGTTATGAGCTTTGATGATGCGCTCGGGTAAGTTTGTTACTTTATATAATATTAACAATTACTAACAATAATAATTACTAGTAATAATCATATAATTATTTCTAATGTGATTATTTTTTCAGATACCAATATACACATTCCTGTATAATACCATTGAGAGAATATGGATATAAATACTTCCCAATTTTACCAACTAATTCACCGACTTATGTAAGAACTATATGTTATTTTTGCTGCTTCTCTATTTTTCAAATTAATGGATCATTTTTAAATTTTCTAAATATTACATTCAATTTTTAGAGCATCACTGTTTCCGATTATGCTAACAGTATCGCACATGGTACTTTAGCAGGACAAATAATAACCATTTTTCCTCATCAATTATTGTATACAGAAAAAATATTATCTAAGAAAAGACAAGTAAGCAGTTATATCTCGTAATCCTTATATTCGTAATTCTTTGAATTATAAATTTTATATATAATTTTCTTTCAGTTAAATTCATTCATTAAAACGGTAGATTTTTTAAAAGATAGTCAAAATGCAAACAGCAATGGAAATAAAAATGACAAAAAAAATTCTAAAGATTATCATTACATGCCGGAAACATATAATGAATGTAAAGATCGTTTTGGCATCATCTTCCATGATAAATTAACAGTGAGTGATTTAAAATTTATATATATAATCTGAAATATTTTAATAATATTAATTAATTTTTTTTGTTTTATTATAATCATACAGGGTTTGAAAGAGATTGTAAAAGAGAAACAGCATTGTACTCTATATAATAACGTGTTGACATCTATTCCTATTGAACAATATCCATTTACTTCTGCAAACAAGGTATATTAATAATAGTTCTTTTTTATTTTTTTTTTTACCGAATAATTATAAACTATATATATATATATATATATATATATATATATATATATATATATATATATACACAGGGTGAGGCATCTAAAACAGGCCACCTGAATAACTCCGTTGGTAAGCCGAATACAGAAAAATTGTTCAGACAAAAGTTGTATGGTTTCAAAGGAGACATATGATGGTGTCATTAGTTTAATCTTGAAGAGCCACCCGAAGGTCACGTGAAGGTCAGCTCCAACTTTTTAAATGGAACACCTTATATGCTTTTGCATATTCTTGTAGCTCATCTCAAGAGCTTTCCAAAACACTACAATTATATTAGTTTTCATTAAATATTTTCCAAGTTATGAGGCTTGAAATCATGTTTTAATTTTACATAAACCGTAAAATATCTTGTAAAATATTCATTTTTCGATTATTTTACCTTAATACTTTTATGTACAAAATAATGAGAAGAATCAATTGGTGTAAAGAAAACACATAATTGCTTCGAACAAAAAAATGTAATTTGCAATTAACAATTACATTTTTTTGTTCGAAGCAATTATGTGTTTTCTTTACACCAATTGATTCTTCTCATTATTTTGTACATAAAAGTATTAAGGTAAAATAATCGAAAAATGAATATTTTACAAGATATTTTACGGTTTATGTAAAATTAAAAAATGATTTCAAGCCTCATAACTTGGAAAGTATTTAATGAAAACTAACATAATTGTAGTGTTTTGGAAAGCTCTTGAGATGAGCTACAAGAATATGCAAAAGCATATAAGGTGTCCCATTTAAAAAGTTGGAGCTGACCTTCACGTGACCTTCGGGTGGCTCTTCAAGATTAAACTAATGACACCATCATATGTCCCCCTTGAAACTATACAACTTTTGTCTGAACAATTTTTTTGTATTCGGTTTACCAACGGAGTTATTCAGGTGGCCTGTTTTAGATGCCTCACCCTGTATATATATATATATATATATACAGGGTGAGGCATCTAAAACAGGCCACCTGAATAACTCCGTTGGTAAATATATATATATATATATATATATATATATATATATATACACATACCGATATTTATAAAACTAATTATTTCAAAAATCAAAATTTCGTTTTCTATAATATTAAAAAAAACGAACATAATTAGAAACAAGCTGATAAAAGAGAACAAAATATATTTTTTAGGTGGCTTGGAATCCAAACGCATGGAGTTATTTGTGGCTTATGGTAGGTTATCAAAATGGTTTAATGAGATTATTAAATCTAACATTTATGTCGTCTCACGACTTGAACACTTCACTATCATCGCATGTGAAATGTGTACTTGCTAAAAGAAATACTTCAACTCAATAACTATAAAGTGACTACACTTTTGATAGAAAGTGAATATTTTTTGTGAACGACATATAGAGAACTATTTTTTATTGCACTTTCACTCTTAGTTCGAAAATTAAAATTGTATAATATCGGCTCATAATATTGTTATATAATTTAATAAATAATACATAATTTTAAGAAACATTGTTATTAAATTTCTTAAAATGGGCAAAATTTCTTAAAACGTTGCAAAAATTCAACTTTCGAAATTGCAATGCTCACTAATATTGGGATCATATCTGGGATATAATAAATATTTTATACAAATAAAATAATATATAAAGTAATTAACAATAAAATTTGTTTTTTCTGTAAAATATTTTTAACATAAATGTAGAACTACTTTACGATTGGTTGAAATATAATTCCGCTACGCGTTTACCGCTTAATGGGACATCAGAGGTTTGTTCGCGTCGCATGCCCCAACATACTCCTACTTACTCCACTACGCTCCAATACGTTCGCGTCACCGGAACTAATATGGCGACTAGGTGTTCGCGTCGTGATAGAACATACTCTAAAGATGCGGCCTCATTGACGCTAAAAAGTAGCGTCAACCATTGGTTGAACAATGAAGCAACTATATTTACCTCCTTGTTCAACCAATGGTTGACGCTACTTTTTAGCGTCAATGAAGCCGCACCTTAATAGCGGCCCGTCACCACGTGCGCACCTCCATTGCACAGCACTCTGACGCAACGCTAAAACAATGTCTAGTAACAAAATTTTAATAAATACGGTAGAGGTAAGTAGATTGTATATTCTTAATAGAAAATGTATTAATATATATAATATATAATAAATATAATAGATATAATAGATATAATAGATATCATTATACAATATATATTATAGAATTGCGCGATTAGTAGCGTATTACAACATAACCAAACAGAAGGAATAATTGGCATAAATATATGTTTTCTAAATACAACATGAATATTATTTATTACAATGTATTCTTTGTATAGGATATAACGTGTGGAGTGTGCACGTAACTTTTTTTTGTTTCTTATATTCATGATTAATAATGCTGCTGCATTCTAATAACCATTGATGATAACGATAATTAACTGACATTTTATTGATAATATTTGATAATAATGATAATATTGATAATATTGATAATAATGATAATATTTGATAATATTCCGCAATTTAGATGATTTACTGACTGCTCCAGCGTTTCAACAAATCACTAGCATGCCTGCAATTGACGCTAAAAGATGAACAAAAGGCCTCATTGACGCTAAAAAGTAGCGTCAACCATTGGTTGAACAAGGAGGTAAATATAGTTGCTTCATTGTTCAAGCAATGGTTGACGCTACTTTTTAGCGTCAATGAAATTGCACCTTAAGGGGCAATTAGGAGCATGTTCCATGTGCCTCACCTTCGATGGCTGGGTTCCAAAATTCACTGCCAGTACTGAAAATCTATAGTGTACGTCACGTAAACTATAGATTTTCAGTACTGGCAGTGAATTTTGGAACGCAGCCGATGATAGTGCAGTTGGGGAAAATGTGCGCGCATGCGTAATATATAAAATATGAATTGATGGATAAATTCTTTAAAGGAAAATGCATAACAAATTCTCCATCTGTATATATTGGCACTGTATGTTCAACATAGTCGGTTATGCATGTTCTAGGTATTCGTCGGACGAAACCTTCATTTCAGTAATTGCGTTAACAGCAATATCTGTAAATATAAATTATATAAAATTTAATAAAAATGCACAAACTAAAAAAAAGGCGAATTTAAAATAAAACCAATCTTTAGAAATTATATTAACACAAGATTAGAACGCTACATCTTCTTAATACTTACTTTCGTCATCGTTTTCATTTTCAAAATTATTAATATAGCCAAGGGTAAAATAGATTTTGTTCTACAAATTCATCATTAATATTTATTATCAATTATAATATTTTTAATTATTTATTATATTTATTATCAATTATAATATTATTATATAATTATAATATTGAAATCAGTAAAAGCATCAAGAAGTTATCAGTAATGTGCGATTGATTGGAAGCAAAAAAAGAAGGGAAAGTGCCTCAAGTCCGTTCGTGTCACCAAACGTTGGTGCACATGAACTCATCTGTTCTAACCGCCATCTTACTTGTGATCCAAGTGCTCTCTGGAGTACATTGGAGCATGCGACGTGAACAAACCATTAAATAAAGAAATACCATGTAGGAAGGAGCATGTAGCGATATATCGCGGGAACATTGGGTTAGTTTTATGACGTCATGAAACGTCATAAATGACGTCATCACATATCTGGCGGTATATTTCAAACACACTAAAAATGCATCAAACAAAAAATATGAAAGTAATGAAAATAAATACTTTACTAAACATAACTATTGTTAGATATAAAATACAATAAAATTAACCTACAAGTTGTAATACTTTTATTTTGACTCTATTATTTTACATAGAATATATTATATCACTTACGTATGAAATGTTTCTATGCGTCCTTTTGTTTTAGAAAATCCACATAAACAACAACTGACCATTTTTTATTTTTTTTCTTTAATTCTCAGTCTATTTCACAGTTCTTACACAGTTCTTACACTCTACAGGGCACAAAGACGTTAAAAGATAACTAAAACTGGACATATTTTCGTCAAAGACATCTTATAGTTAGAGACAATAGTCGATGAAAAGTCGGCTCATGATCCGAATTTAGTCACTAATCTGTCAAGCCAAAAAATGACTAAAAGATGACTAAAAGACAACTAAATTATATCATAATTTTTAAACGAAACATATATTTCAATCCCTAAATAATAATATAATTTATCTATTTCATATAAAATTTTATATAAAAATTTTGTATAAAAATTTTATTTATAATTTATACTTGCATATTGCACTTTACATCTTAAATAGATAATGAAAAATTATTTTCGTTTATTCGCCGGACATTTACTTGTCCGACTTATAAAATCAATTTAATATCTGAAACCCGTGTTTTAGATCAGAAATTAAATTGGACAATACATTTTTAATCTTATTTATTATCTTTTGCAAACTTTATATAATTCTCATAACTGTGACGTTTATTGAATTCAATGGTAACGTCACAGTATGGCTGCGTTCCAAAATTCACTGCCAGTACTGAAAATCTATAGTTTACGTGATGTACACTATAGATTTTCAGTACTGGCAGTGAATTTTGAAAGCCTATATATTACAATGACGTCATAAATTCGATTCTATCGATATTTGGTTCACTTTCATTACGTCACATCCGTCGCACGGCAAACAAAGGATTTTCGGTCATATGCTCCTTCCTGGTATTCTTTATTCAATGGAACAAACCTTTTATTATCTAGGTTACGTTCCAAAACGCAAGTAACCGAAGAAAATTTTACTCGATGGCTGATTCAAACCAATCGGAAACGCTTAAAAGAGTTTCGGAACGGCAATCGAATAAAATTTTCCTCGGAGAGTACGTTTTGGAACGTACCCCTAGTGACTATAGTTACGTATCAGATTCTGACGCCATCTCGCGGTGATGTGTTATTGTAATTCAAAATATACCGAATAGCGCGTGCAGGCGCGTATTCATTTCTTAAAATAAAGAGTAAAGAGAGATTCAAGACACGCAGCAGCATCTGAGTGACAAGCAAAAGAATATCGTTTATTTGAAGAGAAAAAAAGAGGAAAAGGGAGGAATCCATGATATCCATTTAAATAAAAAAGAAATAGATTATCAAATTAAAAAATGGTAATTTGGAAAAATATCGCGATATTCGAAATGATCATCGACATGAATTTTTTTTTGCAAAATTATTTCTCAAAGTACCAATAAAACTTAGGTAAATTAAATATGCAAATATTTAAAGTATACTTCTATTACAAATTTATATTTAAACCATGCATTTAAAAAAAAATTATTTTTTATTTTCGAAGCAAGCCATGACCACCAGCCCTGAGATATCGTGACGTAGTGACGAGACGTGGTAAAAAAAAACGCTGGTTATAGCTGGATGGAACACGAGACGTTGAGAATCGCTATCGCCAACAAGGCTGCTCTTATCGTAGTTTTCTGAATCAGCGAGATTGTCTCGAATTGAACTGATATTCCCAACCGGAAGTACTTACAAATTTGCATTGAATCGCACCAATCGGACGATCCTTGTTACAACAGCGGTAAGTGTGAAATTTCAACAATTTAAAAAAATTTATTATCATTCATTCACGAAATTCATGAGTATAGAAAAAATTAACGCGTGCAATTTATGCTGCATCTTTTATATATGAAGCGTTTACGAAAACATATTTTGAAAATACATATTTTTAGAGGATTAATTTTTAAGAATTTTAAGATTAAATTTTAAAAGAATTTATATACATTTTACTTTTTATATTTGCATTTTATATTTTATTTTTATTTATTTATAATTAATTTTATATATTAATAATTAATTTTATATATTAATATGTACTATATATATATATATATATATATATATATATATATATATATATGCATTGCTATATCACGAAAATGTAAAAATAACTTTCTATGATTTCAATAGCAAATTCTTCGAAATTTAATCAAAATTAAAATTTAATTAAAATTGATATATTAAAAGCAACAATATATATAAAGAGAAATAATCTTATTTAATTTTTAAATATACATCATCATTACTTACTCACATCATACTTATCATTCGAGAATGATTTTTTAATTATTGAAACAGAAAACTAATTTATGTTTTGAAATAATTATTTCTCTATTAATATAGAAAATGAGTTTCAATCCCATGAAATGGAAAACAAGAACTTTCGTGCATGGTGTTTTAGGCGCTTTGCTTTTTTACATACTATTTGTTTATAAAAAGAAGCATCAAGTGATGTTTGAGGTCACCGTGAATAATTCAAATCCCAAGCATGTGTGGGAATTTGTGGCTGATTTTAGCAACATGAAAAAATTGAATCCAACAATGTAAGTAGGAATAAAATTTAAATATTTTAGAATAGGAATAATATATTTGTTATAAAAAGAAATAAAAAATTAATATATATATATATATATATATATATATATATAATATTTTAAAAAATTTTTTATTTCTTTTCATAACAAGTGGTATACATATATATATATATATATATATATATATATATATATATATATACATATATATATATATATATATAAATTAAATATATAATAAAAAAATATATAATAAAATATATATTTATATATTTTATGTTCGTGCGTACGTGTGTGTATATGTATATGTATATTATAGTATTTTTTTCTCTTTAAAAAACAGAATAACAGTTTTAATTTAAAAAATGAGAAATTTTTTTTACATTACATTTTTTTATATTACATACCTTTTTAATCTTTTTTCTATTAATCACTATCCGTTTGAATTCATATTACAGAGAGGATTTTAATGTGATTGAAGAAAGTGGAAATTATGATCATTGGAAATATTCCGTACAGTATACGGAACATTTAAGTCATTTACCAATGATCCGGAACGTAGCACACGGACACTATGCTGTCAAACCGGATGACAATGGCTACGTCATCAGTTCCAAGCATCAGACATGCTTCGTTTTCAATTTCGGCTGTTGTAAGTAGGCACTATTCATGATTCGTTAATTTTATTTTGTCCTGTGTAAATCAAGAGAAAAACATAGAAATAAAATAATACTTTTGAATGAATAAATATTTAAAAAATTTGGCTAGAAACGACATTATTTCTAAATATATATGAATATTTTATAGAGATGATTTTAAATAATTAATTTTCGAACATTTCATCTTCAATCTTACGTTCAATCAAAACTCTATGATAACATATATTAAAACTCTGCCTAGCACATATTTATTTTTATCCATATTATTACAATTGAAGAAAATCGTATATATTCAAATAAGGCTATTTGCTTTTCAGTGGAGTCTATTTCACAATTCAGATTCGATGCGGATGGAGCGAGGGATACAAAATGTATCGAGACCGTACAGTACGAGTGCCCTATCGTATTTTCACCTTTGTGCTATAGGGAGGTCATGTATCAGCGAGAAGAGATCATGAAGAGACTCAAATTAGAGTTCAAACAATAGAAAGGACAATATTAAAAATATTTCGGTGGATTATATGCATGTACTTATTTTACATTAGAATTGTTTTTCACATAAAAATGAGCGATTGTTACTTTAACTAAACGAGTTATATACATTTTTTTCTCTTAAACAATAATAATACAATACAATAATAATTTGCAAAAAATCCTGTTAATATTGAATTTATATTATTTGGTAATTATTTACTTTAGCAACCTCTGATGACCTTGACATTGAGTTATATTGTCAAGGTCATTGTCCTGAGTAACATTCAAAAGATTTTAGTAGTCGCTTGTTGTTTATTAAAAAGTTATTAACAAAAGAATTTCACAATTTTAATGCTTTTTATCTCTGAAAATATTGATTTGAGAAAAAAAATTTTAAGCAAAAAATAAAACTGAAGAACTCTATAAAAAAAGTTATATGCATTTTTTTCATAAACCTACTATTTTAGTTGTTATATAAAAAAATAATTATTTTAAATACATTTAATACAATTTGAATTTATATAGAATTTAATACAATTTAATACAATTAAAAAATATCACAAATGAATGTGTACACACATACACACACATACGCGGGGGATGCAAGGGGGGTCTTCGGCCCCCTCCCGCAGCCTCCCCACCGATAGGGGACGCAAGAGTTGCGAAGAGTTGAATCGCAATGGATATATGCTGTGAGTTATAAAGCGAGATTCACTTTGCCTATCGGCGGGGTGGTTGCGGGAGGGAGGCCGAAGGCCCCTTTTTCATTTCCCGCGTGTATGTCTTCTTTTTTAATTTTTTATGGCCGTAATTGATCTGAACAACGATCAATATACTCAGGCCAACAACTGGTTTAAATTTTGTCTCTACGGCTAAAGTCTCGTAAGAGGTTAAACTCAAAAAGTCTCGTAAGAGGTTAAACTTAAAAATTCTTGTCTGAAGGACACACACGTAAAACACGTTCGCACCGATTCAAGGCCGGTAACGGTCTCTCGCGTGTATGTGTGTGTCTGTGTACACATACATTTGAGATATTTTTTAATTGTATTAAATTGTATTATATAACAGCTAAAATAGTAGGTTTATGAAAAAAATGCATATAACCTTTTTTGTAGTTTTTCAGCGGCTTTATTTTTGGCTTAAAATTTTTTTTCTCAAATCAATATTTTCAGAGATAAAAAGCATTAAAGTGGTGAAATTCTTTTGTTAATAACTTTTTAATAAACAAGCGAGCGACTACTAAAATCTTTTGAATTTTACTCAGGACAGTGACCTTGACAACATAGGTCAAGGTTATGAGAGATTGCTCCCCTAAAGTAAATAATCAAATAAAATTCGTAAATAAACCTCGATAAACTCAATACCGTTTTGTATAACTCGCTGTGTTAGCAGCTATCGATACCTAATCTAGTATAACCAACGTACGAATATAAAATCTCCGCAATGACAAAGTGACGAGAGAAAAAAAGAAAAGAGAAGGAAAGGTGCTGGGAAAAGATCAACAGTTTATCGAAAACATACCGCAGATGTAAGAGCTCAACGGTGAGAGCGAGTCACGAGAGGAAAGTGTGTGCTTCGAAAAGAAAAAAAAACTTTTATATTTTTATTCAAGTTTCTCGTGAGAGACATACTCGTTGCAGTCATAGCAATTTAGTACGATATCGCTTATACGTTTGTATTTCGGCAACCGAAAACATGTCCAATAAATATGAGACGTAAGTGAAAGTGTTCTCCCTTTATTTCATCGTGTTTCTCCACGGGCGTTTTCGAGGTTAGATATATGTTTGAATATACAGTGAAAATATGTATACGTCAAGATAAATATTTTCATTGTCGCGTAACAATTATCATTTGTCACAAGGCTATCCATTTAATTCGTCTTTATCTCGATAAAAATTTGATTTTTTAACGTAGCAATGAAAGGAACATAGGTATAGTAAGTTAGTTGGATCAGCGATATTGTCAATTCTCTTAGTATTATTTAATATTTGTGATGTATTGATAATCTTTCAGTAATAGTCAGTGTCAACATTTTGTGGCAATTTTTTTTTGAATAATTAAAGAAACCAATATTTTCACTATATTTTAAACATATAGAAGAATTAATATGAAATTTTGACAATATGGCAAATAGTTTCCTTTTTTGTTTCATATTTATTAATATACATAATATAATATATATATATATATATATATATATATATATATAATATATATATATATATATATATATATATATATATATATATGTATATTTTTTTATATTTTTGGCTTACCTTGTGAATTATGATAGCACTTACAGATTAAAGGCTACTGAGGATAGTACAATTGAAGACGAAGAGTCTCAATCAAAAGATAATCAAAAAGTCGAAAAAGGTCCACCAGTGAGTAGTCCAAAGATCTTATTGATATATGAATGTTAAAATAAAACTGATAAGAAATATCTGATAATTAATATCTGTTTAGCCTCCAATAGAAATAAATCCAAATGAGCATAAATTACAATATGCTTATGCACTCTGGTATAGTCGACGTAGTGGGCTTAGCAAACAAACTAGCATACAAAGTTATGTTCAAAATTTAAAGTTGGTTGGTAGGTTTGCAAGTGTAGAACAATTCTGGGGTCTTTATAGTCATTTAGTACGACCATCAGAGCTTACAGCGCATACAGATTTTCATCTTTTCAAAGTTGGTATAAAACCCATATGGGAGGTAAGTATATACTATTCTACTATATTCATATTATATATGTGAAACTTATTATTTATCTTTTCTAGGACGAAGCAAATCAAAAAGGTGGTAAATGGATAGTAAGATTACGAAAGGGTTTAGTATCTAGATGTTGGGAAAATCTTATATTGGCAATGTTAGGTGAGCAATTTATGGTAGGAGAAGAAATTTGTGGTGCTGTTGTATCTATAAGATACCAGGTAAATATTTCCACATTTATTCTTAATTTAGAAACAAAAGATTTTTTATTAACAATGAGTGAGTGAATTTTTTTTGTATAATAGGAAGATGTAATATGTGTATGGAATAAAACAGCATCGGATGTAGCAACAACAGCACGAATTAGAGATACATTAAGAAGAGTGTTACATCTTCCAGCTAGTGCCTCTATGGAGTACAAAACTCATAATGACAGTATGAAGAGTGTACATCGGCTCTAAAGTTATATAATTTTGAAAAAAAGATCTGTTCCAAATCATCTGACAGACTAAGGTAAGATAAATTATATATAAATAATTATATAAACAATTTATATAAAGCAATATTAAAAATGCTTGAAAAACCTTTTTAATCATTGTGTTGTGGTTTTCAAAGATGTAACGGTTCATACCTCCCAGGAGATTACACATTTATTTGACAGAAAATAAATAAAACGTGGAAAGTTTGAAAACATCCATTTGACGATACACTTTATTCACAAGTGTCTCTGTGTTGTAACTTATGTAAATAATGAATTCACATTGATAAAAAATAAATAAATATCCTTATTTCCAAGAAATATAATATAAACAATAATTTTTATATTTTCTCTATTCATATAATTTTATATAAACATATTTCTTATACAAAATTGCTTTTTCTAAAATTGATTTTTTTTCCAAGCTCTTACATATATATAAAATCAAAAATTAAATATGCATTATTTTCCTATTTTGCATTATAATTATGAATAATAGGATTATTTTATTTTAAGTCAATTTTATTATATCACAGACATTGCACAAAGGTGTTATAAATGAAAAAAAAAGAAGAAACCATTCATTGTTATAGATTTTTAATATTTAATTAAAACTTAATTTCAATTTTATATACAAAGGAAGACCCTTATTTACATGAGATCGTATGGTGCAGAATATATAGATGATAATTATGAGTGGAAAAATATAATGATTCTATACACATACAACATAAAGATTTTCAAATAAGTTAATAAAGAATTATTATATATATATAAATATATATATATATATATATATATATATATATATATATATATATATATTCACATATACACATAAACGCATAATTCATACAATAGCATTGGTCTTTCAAATAGACTTAGGTAGAAAATTACCAAACGGAATACGCGTTTGTCATCATATAGACTAAAATTTCCAGACTTTTTAAAATAGGACTATTTAATATAATAGAAATAATTATTATATTATAATATATTTATATATATTTTTATAAAATTATAATTATGATAAAGAAATATTGGTATCTTGGTCGATATAATGTCGAAGTTTAGACTAGAATTGGGTGTATTCCATAAAAAAGAAGGCCCAATATGAAAAAATCTTGTATTAATTGTTTTTATCCTATGATTTTATCCTGTATACAAAGATTTTTATATAAAAAGCTGAGGATTTTATAACCCTAAAACAATATTTGCAACCATACCTATAACAAAATAAATTTAAAATTGTAATATTTTACACACACACACACACACACACACATACACATTCATGCTTACCTAATACAAATGAGAATATCAATTTAAAATTCACAGAAAGATGGAGATAATCAGGCACCCTATGACTTTGTTCTCCTTCAGTAGGTAGAAGCAATCCAATTATGCATATAATTCCTGTGACAAGTGCTACATAATTTGTACCTCCTAAAATATCATTTATATATATAGTTTGCTTTTTAACTTTGTGCTAAAGTAATTATCAGAATTTGAAAGAGAAAGGTTAAGGATCGTGGCGAAGGGTGTTATTACGTAATTAAAATTAGAACATGAATCTAGGACGGAAACTTTATATATTCTTTAATAATTGATAGTAAAAAAAGACATTATCCGTCGAGAAAAAATAATACGAATACAAAAATATCGACAAACGTACGTTTCAATCCAATGCGGATCTTTTTCAAAAAGTCTTTCAAAAAGATCCGCATTGGATCGAAACGTACATTTGTCGATATTTTTGTATTCGTATTATTTTTGCTCGACGGATAAGGTCTTTTTTTTACTATCAATTATTAAAGAATATATAAAGTTTCCGTCCTAGATTCATATTCTAATTTTAATTACGTAATAATACCTTACGTCTTAGCCTTTCTCTTTTATCAAATTCTGATTATTATCTCACGGACCGTTATCCTCTTTTTTGTTTTTAAAGTAATTATTTTCTATAATTATAATTACAATAAATGAATTTGTCTTAGAAACAATCTTATATATGCATTAAAACCATTTTATAATATAGAAATATATATAAAATTTCTTTTGTTTTTTTTTTATTATATAAAATATATCAAACAAATAAAAAAATTTAGACTTGAGTTGAAGTAATTGTAATACATTTACTCACTATCTATTGTCTTGTTTCGTGTTATAAGTGTATAAGATTGCTGTTGCCTATTTTCATTTATTGGAAGCTGTTGGAACATATCTGGATCTGGTGTTGATCTTCCAGCTGTATCTGTTGTTCCAGGAAGAAGTTTAGCTTCAACATCACGTTTACCAATCACCTAACATGATTTGCAAAATTTTAATTTTTTTATAGACTTTCAATGAGTATGTTTTGAAACATAATAAATATTACCTGTTTAGTAGGATATTCTTGCATATGTATCCTGAATTTATCAATTATATTACAGTTATTTGTCAACAATGCTGTATGCCTGACAACAATATCAACGCAGGAACTAGCTTTTATTATGCCTTCTGGATCTACCACTTGATATTTATTTGGTGCAGTACATAAAACTAAAATATTAACATTAAACATACATACATAGACATAAAATTACAGATTCATGTTGGAAAGAGAAAAAAAGATACCTTTAAATTTTACAGGAAAATCATATGGATTATACAAAGTTAACACTTGTTTGTGTGTAGACTGATCGTCTAAATAAAATGTAATGTTTTGTGGAAACACAAAGATTGGTAACTTCCGAGGTGTAGCTACTAATGGTGGTGGCATTGTATTTCTTCAATCTTGAGTTGTCCATATACCTGCAGATACAATATCAATTACAATTGTGTATTTTGTACACTTTTGCACTTCTTTTACGTACTAACAGTAAGAGTAAGATAATTTTGTAAATTTATATCTCTTTAAGCAGAAAATTATATATGTATAATTATATATTAAAACGATTTGAAATATATTTATCAAATTAATTTTTAAAAATGTTGGATCTATAACCTGATATATATATATATAGGGAGCTTATATATTATGCATAGCAGAGTATGACATAAATTATGTAGAATCGTGTATAAAAATATTATAATATACCTGTGAATTTATGTGCTTGGACAATAACAAATACAATCAAGATTTATATAATGACCGAACAATTGATTTTCCAGATTTATACTTGAAAGGAATCCAAATATCAGATAACGCTAATTGCTGTCCGAACAAAATCGTAGTATACAAAGAGACTTCGAATGTATAAAATCAAGTGACATTTCGTTAATTAGACTTCGCGCCGCGAGATCAGGGTTGTGTGTACGTAGAATATTTACAAAAATATTTACAAATGATTAAATTTTCTTTCGATCATCGTTACCAACGAGATACATCGCGTAATGTTGTCTGACAATTCTAATTCGAACATCGGGATCGCGTCTAGATACTTATACGTCATAGGCTACGTTCAGCAGAAAAAGCTGCTTTGCAACCATAGACATAGTAAGGGCCTCCGCACAAGAGCCGATATTCATAGTCCTAGAGAAAAACGTATGTCGTACAAGACCATTGTCACAATGGCCTTGTATGACATACGTTTTTCTCTGCCTTACGTTACATCCACGATTACGACAGACATCTAGTTCTCTGCCATCAGCCTAAGGGCCTCCGCACAAGGTGTTCCGTATCGCATTACGTTACGTTAAGTATAGATCGTAAATTTAACTTCGTACGTAAACTTAAACTTCAGTCAACGCACAGAAAAAATCGTAACGTAGGCCGGTATTCATAGTCCGGTCTTACATTTAAGATCATCTTAAGAATTCCATCAATCAATAGCTATTTGATTCAATAGCATTGTAGCTATTTGATTGGTTGAATGAGTTCTTAAGATGATCTTAAATATAAGTCCGGGCTATGAATACCGGCCATAAAGATATGTCTTTACGTTACGATTTTTTTTGTGCGTTGACTGAAGTTAAAAGATGTTTACGACAATTAATCGGATCTTTGATCGGACTGAGCAGTGGTACTCAGCGATAGACTTCCTAAATTTCCCTAGACTAATCCGGATCAATAATGTGTCTCTGAAGTAATCGAATTAGATTAACAGTCATCGAAAGAAATTGCGGTCGAGCTGATCGAAAAAATGATGAAAAACATAAGAAATTATAGAAGATTTATTATTCTTTATTATTCTTTTAATTAATATATCTTTATTTATCAAATATATAATAATAAACAAATGTATTTTACCAGAATAAGATGTTTTATATAAAATAAGAATAAGTTGTTAATCTAATTCGATTACTTCAGAGACACATCATTGATCCGGATTAGTCTAGGGAAATTTAGAAAGCTATCTATCGCTGAGTACCACCAGAGAGAAACCTGAGAGCGGCCACCAGCCTCGACGGGCACATTTCTCGATGCTTGACGCGCCGTCTGACAAAGTGGACGTGAACTATGTCCATTACGCTCGGTAACGAAACATGGTTTGTGTCTATAATATGGGTTCATGTCCGAATTATTCAGAGATGGACAGTCGGATAAGAATCGATAATTCATCGTTCTGTCTTTGTCTCATCAATGATAGACCACGCGACTGCCACGCGACGAGCTTACGATTTTGCTTTCCCCTTTCTCTCGTCGCGCTTTCACGTTCTTCGTTATGATGTAATAACGAAATGATCTTCACATAATCCTAATTTTTTAAGGGTATTGGCAGACAAGTTTTCCAACTTTGTATGTCCTGTAACAAAAATACAACACATTATGAAAATTACGATTACATGCTTACTTCAAGCTGCCATAGCAATTGGTATACCGAATGTTTGGTAAAAAAAAATTTTTTATGTCAGGCGTGTTGGTTATAATCAATTCGATAAAGTGCTACTTCATAATAGCGCGTAGCAGTGCAAGTAAGATGACTGCTTGTCACGGCGCTGACCCGAGTTTGAATCTCCCTGCTGTCGTTTTTTTTATTTTTATTTTATGAAATAATAAAATAACAAATAATATGTATTGAATTTGGGAGCAGAAAAGGCAAAAAATTAATAAAATAATGACAATTATTGCACAAAAACATACTTGTATTGCCTATCCATGTATTGCATCTTGTATCCTTCTGCATTGGAAATCGGAATAGCCGTTTCCTATGCGAAAATCTCCCATTCTTACATTCTTTACTTTATTTCTGTACACGCACTTATCATAATAACTATCTATAGGGCACTGACTCGACATAGTGATTGTTTATATGCAAAACAAAAAAATATAAAAATAAAATTAAAAAAACTTAAAAATAGAAATAAAAGAGAAATACAACACTTGATAAAAAAATAAAAAAATTACACAACCAACACAATAAAAGCATACACGCACGTACGTGTACACGCAGAAATATTTACAGATAATGTGTCGTGTTATATAAAAGAAACGATAATACGTGTTGCAAAATACACAGATCTTACAGATCGTTAAAAAAATATAAATTTAAAACAATAGAAGAGATCTGTTATGCACAGATAATGAAGTACCGCAGAATCGAACGTCACTTGTAAAGCTCGCTGATTGATTATTTCCAGCGTGTTGTCGCGCATTACTTGTTTCATAGCATCAAATAGCCGTGAAACGACAGTGAAACGTAATTCTTTTATATATTAATAAAAGATTAAAGAATCTGTTTATTGTTAATGTAAAGTTATTTTGTATATCATCATACAAAGAATTAGTTTCACAAACTGATTTATCTATCTTTTTGTTATTATTTTCAAAATTAAATATAATTACATAAAAAATGATTACATAAAATTAATCATCCGAATTATCGATCTCATCAAGACGTGAGCCAGGATGATATTTATCATAAAAACATGAAAAACATAATGTAATACAATATCTAGCGCATTGGATGCTGTATTGTGCTGCTATATGTGTGAGCAATCTTATTAAAACTTTATTTTTTTACAAGAAAATTATTCACATCATTCGATACACTAGATGTTATATTATATTATGTTTTTCATGTCTAACACTAACACGCAAATGCATCAAAGTAAGATATCATTCGCATTGATATGTATATTTTTTTAATTAATTAATTATTTAAAAAATATATAAAATAAAATATTACTATAATAATATGAGAGTTGTAAGCATTTATGAAATACAGATATAATTATTTTAAATAAAAAGAAAAGGTTTTATTAAAAAACATTTTTAATAAATGTCTTTATAATAAATAAATAAATTTGTCTCTATATATTGGGCGCTCGAAGTCGTCTCGAAATCCTATCCGAATTATGTAAAATGTAGCGCGTGAAATATGAGACGGGGCCGACAAGCGATGGAAGGAGACATGAGCTTTACGATAGAAAATCACCGTTCGCCTCATGCCTACCGCCGCGTGATTTGCCATCATTGGTGAGACAAAAGCAGAACGATAAATTATCGGCTCTTGTCTAACTTTCATGTCCATCTCATGTGAATAGTTCGGATATGAACCATAGCTCGGACATGAACCATAGCTCAGATACGAACCATGTATTATTATCGACTGTAATGGATGTAGTTGACGTCCACTTTGTCAGGCGGCGCATTAGGACAATGTGCCCATTAAAGCGAGGTGGCCGCTCTCAGGTTTCTCTCTGGTACTACTGTTCAAAGTCTGATCAAAGATCCGATTAATTGTCGTAAACTCCCAAAGTTTACGTACGGAGTTAAATTTACGATCTAACGTAATGTAATGCGATACAGAACACCTTGTGCGGAGGCCCTAAGGATCTAACCAGACAAACTTGCATAGGTGCATATGCATAACATAAGACCATATGGACCAAGTATATAAGGCCGCAGCACACACTTTTGCATAAGCGCATAATCATAAGCATAAGCAAATTGATTGGTTCATTTTCTTATGCATATATTTGGGAACCAATCAATTTCCTTATGCTTATGGTTATGTGCTTATGCAAAAGTGTGTGCTGCGGCCTTAAATCGCCATAGTGACTTACATAACATAATACTCGATGCTCATTGGTCCATATGGTCTTATGTTATGCATATGCAAGTTTATCTGGATAGGCCCTAAGTATAGTACTACATAGTACTTCCTAGGTTTGTTCGCGTCGCATGCTCCAATGTACTCCAGAAAGCACTTATGGTGCGGTCCCATGATACGGAACGTATGCGCAATGCGGAATTGGCGGAACGAAGTTCGTTCAATCACAGACATTCCGTCAATTACGTTCCGTTGAAATATATTTTCTTATGTCCCATGGAGCGGAAAACGCGGAAGCGCAATTGGTGTTGGCCAATCACAAGATTCTTTCCCATAGATTTTTTTGTTGTCTATATCGGAACAACGTACATTATTGGCTCGCGCAAATTACGCTTCCGTATTTTCCGCTGCATGGGACATAGGAAATACAAATTTATGCGGATCGGATTCACACATATATGTCAAAAAATTCATGAATTTCATATATAACTTTCAAAACTGACAACAACTTAATATTGAATATGGATTCTGAAAAATTGTTTATTATTATTTATGGATTGTTAAGTAAATTAAAACAAAGTTAGTGTATATTTAAAAAGAATGAATTACGCCGTAAGATTATAAAATTATATTCATTGTATATAATTGTAAAAAGAAATGAAAATATTAAAAAACGACGAAAATATTGGATGCGACCTATATTCAGCTTAGAAAGAAGATTCCAACAAGGAGCAAGTGAGAATCTTGTAAAGGAAATGCTGATGAAGACACAGAAAAATATATGGATTATTTTAGAATGGCACCTCAATTATTTGACGCATTATTAGCATTAGTTGGACCATTCCTTGTAACACTCTTATTTAAAATATTTTTTAATAATATTCTTACGGATATCTGCTGTTTCGACATTTTTCATCATACACACAATTTCGAAGTTCTGCACAAAATGTGTATAAAATAGAAACTTGCGGATAGAAATCGGCGGAACAGACGTAAAACAGGTTAAACCAATCACGAGCGTTCCGCCAATTCCGCATTGCGCATACGTTCCGTATCATGGGACCGCACCATTAGTCACAAGTAAGATGGCGGTTACAGCAGATGAGTTCATGTACACCAACGTTCGGTGACACGAACGGATTTGAGGCACTTCCCCTTTTTTTTTTTCTTCCAACCAATCGCATATTACAGTATTATGACAACATGGATTTTGATGCTTTTACTGATTTCAATATTCTAATTAATAATATTATAATTGATAATATTAATGATGAATTTGTAAAACAAAATCTATTACACTTGACTATTAATAATTTTGAAAATGAAAACGATGAAATAGAA